AACATCCAGGTGTGGGCAGCGTTGATTTTTTCTGAGGGCCTTTCTCCTGGGCTTGCACATGACTGTCTTCTCCCCATGTCTTTTCACGGTCCTCCCCTGTGCATGCCTGTGTCCTAATCTCTTCTTCTTATAAGGACACCAGTCCTATCAGATTAGGGCCCACCTTAATGACCTCATTGAACCATAACTACCTCTTTAAAGACCCTAACTCCAAATGCGGTCACATTCTGAGGTACTGAGGGTTAGGACTTCACATATGAATTTTGGGAGGACACAGTTTAGCCCACAACACTCACCATATTAGCAATCTTTTAAGAGCTGGCAATACAAATGTAGTTGAGGATGTGGAACAGCAGAAAATGTGACCGACTGCTGATGAGAAAAGCGACTTGCATTAAAACTGAACATGCAAATACCCTATTACCAGCTATTCTATTCCTGGAGATGTACTCAAGAAAATCTGTGTACAGGTGGCTGGGAAGACATGTATACAGATGATCATACCAGCGCTGGAAACACTGGAGACAATCCCAACGTTCATCGGCAAGAGAAATAAAGTACGTTTGTACAGTGGAATTCTCTCTGGCAGTGAAATGAATGAGCTACAGCTGTACACAAATATGTAAATGAATCTTAAAAACAGAATGTAGAATAAAGGAAAACTTCAGAGGAATATTTGTAGTCTTAACATTTTTATAAGGTTCAAAAAACAAAATAAACAGAATAATTTGTAGGGATATATACATATGGCATAAAAGTAATATTTAGAGAAAGACAACAATAAGCCCCAAATTCAGATAATACTTAGCTCTGGGACAGCAAAGAGACAAAAAGGGGATCGAGAAGGATTATAGGGGGTTTCAACTGTTTTGAAAATAGCTTATTTCTTAAGCTGGTTGGTGGATAAACAGGTGTTCACTGTATTATGTTTTGAGGGCTTTTTTGCATTCATTAAATGTCACATAATTCTTTTAAAAAGACCTAAAAAGGAAAAATCAAAGAACATGTGAATGGGGTCTAGATCTTGTGGACCGTAAAAGAAAAGTAAATGTTCAACAGGGATGTTGCTTTTGGTCAATCTTGTAGTTAGTGATGGGAAGAAAATGCAATACTTAAAAATTTGGTTACTGCTCACAGAGAAAAGACCAATAAATCAGTGATCAACTAGAATGAAGGAGTTGGATGGGGATCAAGACGGGAAGTTTGTTTTCTAGACAGCCCGTGAGAAAGGTGTAAGTGGCTACATGTTAACCGCTGTGTTCATCAATTTAGTAAGTCACATCAGCTACTTGATTTAATGAGTTACCATAATAAATCACTTGCATAATGTAAATGCACCTACATGGTTGAATTTTTAAAAGACTATTTGACCTAAGGAGATTCAAATAACATTAACGACAGCATACATAACTTGAGTTAAGCAGTAACAGTTCTTTTAAAACAAGCATCATAGAAATTAATGTACTAACTTCCTTAGAGTGGAAAAGAAAAGTTAATACTAGTTTCTCACCTGGTTCCTTTTGAGGCAAAAATATGAACAATTAAGGTAAACTCTCAAAAGGGGGAAGAGAATAGATATAAAAAGTGATTCTTCACCTCAAATGAACTTAAACGTCTTTTTGAAAAGACGACATGAGCACATAGAAAAACACCAAGTAGCAGTGCGAGACTGTGCCTAATTTCAGCAAACTCTGACCAGCCACGTGCCAGTCCTGTGCGGGGCCTGTGGTATGGGGGTGAAATAGTGTCCTTCAAAGAGAAGGAGACTCTCTGTGGGAGAAACAGACAGGCAAGCAAACATCCTGAATACCATAGGAGAAGCGCTATCATAGCGGATGGCATGGCCCAACCTGGGGAGGTCAGGGAAGGCTTTCAGGAGAAGGTGAAGGAATGAAGAGGGCTTCTGAAGGCAGATGGTAGCTGGGCTCATCAGGTAGAACAGCATGAACAAAGACCTGAGGTGAGCGAATATGAGCTTTCAGGTAACAGCACGTACAGGGACTGAAGTCACAGGCGTGGTGGGAATAGCTGGAGACGAGAGGCTGGAGATTGTGGTCGGGAGAGGCCAGAGGGTGAGGACTCTTGTACTTGAGGCAAAGCACTTTGGGCTTTATCTTAAAGGCAGTGAGGCAACACAGAAGGCTGGAAATCAGGGAGTGATATGATCAGGTTTGCTTCTTAGCTCCGGGGAGGAGTGGGGAGGGCAAGCTGAGCATGGCAGCTCCGAGAGGTGTGCACAAAGAGATTAAATTGAATCCCTGGGGATAAAGCAGAAGGGGGACTGCAGAAGAAACTCTGGGAACAACAGCATTTCAAGGTGGGCAAAAGCAGAGGAGAGTAGCCCAAAGGAGATACATGCAAATTCGCTTAAAACTCTTGAGTTACTTCTCACTTCCTCATGATGGTTTGTATGCAAGCTGCTTTCACTAAGAAATTTTCCAGCTTATTTTATAAAACCCTGGTCACAAGCAACAGAAAACATTGTTTTGGGAAAAGAACAGAAGTTATGGAGTCAAGACCAGGGTTTGAGTAATGACTCAGTCAAGTGTTGGTGTCTCGAAGGAAACAACTGAGTCTCAATGTCCTCATCTGTAAAATGAACATTAGATTGACATGATTGTTATGAAGAGTAAACAAGTACGATATTTGTAAAAATGACGAAGTAATGCGCACGTTGAGTATCTAATGTGTACATAAAGGAGACTAATCTCTGACATGAAAGGAGAAAGTCCAATGAGCTGAAGATTCTTAAAAGGTAACCACAAATTAGTCTAGACAGTTATCTGGAGAGAGAATCAAACAATAAGAAGAATCTAGACACTCCTCAGGAAAAAAAATGGAAATTGATAAAATTAACCTTGATTTTCATTTGTTAGCTTGATAAACATTTAGCTGGGATAATATTAAATATTCTGCAATTATTTCAGTGTGGACCAAGAATTGTTTTAAGTTGTTACATATGTTTTTCATTAGCTGTCTTCAAAAGCTTTCAAATGTAAACATGGACTTAATATGTTTTAGCAAACCAAGAAATTTTGAAAGTTTTACATGGGAAACTTAACCCAAGGAAGTTATTTCAGTAATAATAACCAACATTTACTGAGCCCTATTATGTCCTTTGTGCCTACTATGTCCTATCTCTAATCCTCCCAAAATGGAAGTAAGATAAGATTAATACATAAAATTGGACTCAGAGGGTTTTACTAACTTGTTCAAGGTCACACATGTGGAAAGCGGCAGAGTAGGATTGTGAATCCAAGTTTCAGAGACTCCAAAATTCACTGCCATGCCTTCCCTTCGCGCTGAAGGAAGATCACAGAAAAGGGGCCCATGACCAAACCTGGGCAGTCCTAGAGGGCTTTCAGGACGACGTGATGTTTGAACAGAGTTCCAGAAAAATGAGTAGGAATCTTGAAGTGGGGGGGGAGATGATATGAAAAGAAGAGGAAACAGGGAAGCTTGCAGGGAACAGCAAGTAAAGGATTGAGGCAGTTTATGACTTACAAAGTACGTTCATGAGCAAGTTCCCATTCTATCTTCAGGAAACAATGTTCATCTTTCCCATCTAATAGATAAAAACGAGCCATATTGGAGGTGCAATGACTTGTTCGAGGACACAGAAAAAGGAAATTGCAGCACTAGAGTTCAAGGTCCGCTCTGGTGACGCCAGATCCTGGGCTCATGCTCATAACTGTGGCAGCTACAAAGAAAAAATTTCACTACATAGTTTCCATTATAACTTCATTTCCGATTTTATCATATCGTCCCTACCCTTATTTTCTGTGTCATTTACTTCACCCACTTCTTTTCCATTTTATCCTCATGTCACACATATATTTGTAGGCTTGCTCAAACTAACTTTCAATGAACCAGGGCATAAATTGATAAAAACTTCAATGCCCACAAAAAAGAAATTGTGTCGATGTTTTATATTCCCAACTAGTTCTGGGCTTTAGGAAACCACATCTTTATCCAACTGTGATGTTAAGGGATATATAGTCTTGCATATTGTTAACTTCATCAAACACTCCAACAGAAATATGTTTCTGTGTTGCTACAGTCTTCTTGATGATGATTTTCCACGACTGTATTTTTTTCTGTAAAGGAGACATGGCTATTCCCATACCACTGGACATTCAGACTGATTCTTCTCGTTTTCCAAAGCTAGTGGACTATGAGGGTCCACCCCAAGCCTTCCCACTGCAGTCTCTTTCACTGCCTTCACATCTTGTCCATCCCATTCTAGGGTTATGGGTATTGGTACGTGTCAATTTGGGACCTCATTCAGGGTTCCTTACTCACTCAATTGCATGTCTTTTCCATTTTTACCATCAGGCTCTAATCCGTAAGTTCCCTGGGTCTTTGTTACATAAATCCCCTCAAATCCTGTTTTGGAAAAAGGTATGGTATAAAGAGAGTAAATACACTTCTGGGGAGGATAAGGATTCTGTTTACAAATGATACAGCACTACTGTGCAAAACTAGTGATTTCCTGCTTACGACAATTGCATGTGTTAAGCTCTTGGGCGCTGGTATAAACAATAGTTGTATAGTTTCAACCCAAGGCCTTGGAACAAAGCTCTCTTTTTCTTCTATCTAACCACTCAGAGAGGACATGGATTCAGGAAAAATAGCTCTGAGGGAGGCACTCTAGGGAAGTGGTTATAAGCACACAGCAGAATGAGCCAGATGGATATGGATTTGACTCCCAACCTTGCTTTTCATGGCTGTGAGCCTCTGGACAAGTTGTTTCTCTTCTATGAGCCATAGTTTCTACATCCTTACCTTCTTTAGAGGGTTGTTTAGGGATTAAATAAGACCCAGGATATAGTGAGCATTCAGTAAACGTTAATATTATCATTGGGATAGTTTCTTCAAAATAACAATTTCAAAGCTTTGAATACAAGATGATGGTGGACCTTATATGGTCATAAGGCACACAACAAACAACTGGAGTGATCAGAGTTTCTACTGAGACGTTGTTTTTCACTTTTTCCCAGTGTGATTTCAGAATCAGGAAGAAAATCAGGCCTCTAACTGTGGATACGGCCTGCAGCTATGGACTTAAATGAATGATTGGAGTGTATTCTTGGGTAAGTAATTTAATTTCCCTGTATCTTACTGTCTCTTCTGTAGAATGTTGATTCATGGAAAACTAGTGGTTTTGGAAAACCCTCTCGATGGAGACTGGGTTTCCAGCCCTGCTTATACTGTGCTATGAACATGAATTGCTGGCAGCATAATGACTCAAATCCCACATCCGGCTTTTGGTGGCATTTACCACTGATGAGGTTCGTGTGTTCCTGTCATGAAGGCCCGCAGAAGAGCCATTTTCATTGGGGTCTGATTTGAAGTGAGCTGACACATTAGCAGGACATAATGCTGGTGTGCTCTCCTTGAGAGAAGACCATTTGCCCACTAATTTGCTGACTGGCCTGAAGAATCAGAGGAACTGATGCACTCAGAGACCCCGGGGACTCCTCTGCCTGCAAGTTTGGCTTTGGCAGGAATGGTTACTGCTCCCTGGTTGCATGATTCATGCTTGTCCCATCAAAAAAGCATATACTAAAGGAGAACAGCGATCGATTAAGAAAGAAAATATTAATTACTACCAAGGGGAAACATTCACTCTCCTTACCTCTAAGGATTTGGAAATAATGGTACTTATTCCCAAGCAAGGATAGTGGAAAATACTTAACAGTAGACTGAGTTACTTTAAGAATTAACATTCTGGGTATAAAGTGCAGTACAAGCCACACACACACACACACACACACACACACAATGCCTGACACACAACAGACTTAGCAAATTATCTTAAACTGAGTGAATGAAAAAGAGAAGAAATTAGCAAAAAGCTGCGACTTGGAGAACAGCATGTGATTCATAGTTTGAACGACCCTAGACAAGTCTCTTAACCTAAGCCTCAGTTTCTCATCTGAGAAGCAATGTCCACCTCACTGGTTTGCTGTGAGAAATTGAATAATGCGGTTAGAGGGTTATGTGGTTAAAAGCACCTGACAGTCATAAGACCTGGATCGTAGATCAAGCTCAATTCCACACAATATGATTCACTCAAATATTTACTGAGCACTTACTATTTGCCTGGCATTGTATTCCGGGTGCTGGAATTGGATAAAAGATTAATAAGACAGCTAGGTTTGTCCCTTGTATAGGGCAACTGGGATGGAGGCAGACCAAGATTCTGAATCATAGCACTCTTATTTTATTTTACCTACATTCAAAAGAGGTCCCCCAAACACCCTGAATGAGTTGTCCCAGTCTTTGCCCTCAACTCATAGTCTATTGGGGGAGACAAATCTGTAAACCCCAAATTCCAAAGCAGCATGCTAAATGCAGCAATGGTGGTATTAAAAGGTGTGTGGAGGGAATAAGGAGGGACTGATGAACTGTAGAGGGGGAGTTGGGTAAAGAGGCCTGAAGGGGATGCCGTCGTCTGGCTGAATTATGGAAAATAAACAGGAGTTCCTACAGAGCGAAAAAGCCGAGGAAGGGCATTTCAGATAGCAGGAAGCATCACATGCAAAGCCAAATAAACAGGAAGTTGCTAATTCCAGGTTCTGCCATTAACTGGCTTTATTTAACCTTTATGGAATTTCCTCAAGTCCCTCTGGGCTTCCAGTTTTTTCTCATATTAGAAAACGAAGGTTGGGGGGGGGGATGGGAGGCGTGGAAAGAGGTAATACAGATTTTCTGTAAGGGGCTTTCTAACTGGTCCCTCCCTGCTGAAACAGAGAGAAGAGGGGTAACTTTGGGAATATCAAGTGTTATTTTTCGAGTATGAGCCAGAGGCCCCATCTTTTGTGACAAAAGATGACAGGCTGCAGTCATTCAGAAATGTTTGCATAATCCACCCAGTTCATCAGTATTTACGGCATTGACTGAGCAGGCTGTTAAGGAGGCCACCAACCAGCAGAGAGAGACTGGTAATAAGTACACGAATATCATGGAAACCGTATTGATCTACACATGGCGGGTGCGTGGAGGCAGTAAAATAGAAGCACCTAGAGCATGTCCGTCACGTGCAGGATGACAGGATTTAGCTCCTAGCAAAAGGGAACTTCCTGGTTCCTCACCCTGTTTCATCTTCTCCAAGAGGCCGCCAGCATGTTCCGCCGCCAGTTCTCCCTGGGCAGGGCCACCAGGCATCCTCTCTTCACCTGCAACCTTTTTCAGGCCTGTGTAAGGGGCTCCGTGCACGCCAAGCGGATGCGGGTCCCAGGACTGACCAGAGGGTCACGCCCCAGCACGCGCTGCAGGGCCCCCAGCCGCGGCGAGCAGGGCAAGCAGGGTTGGCTTGGAAGGCGGGCTGTCCAGTGCCTCCAGGGGTTGGGCTCCCGGCCGGCTGGGCGGGACTCAGGCTGCCAGTATAAGGCAGGGGCGCCACTGTCCCAGCCAGAGTGCTGAAGCTGGCGCCCCAGCCGGGACCGGGAGGCTGCCGGCACTGAACTTGAAATTCAGGACCCAGAGTGACTGGAGAAGGAAGGAAAGGTCTGATTTCGATTTGTTCGTTTATTTACTACCGATGAATGGAAGGCGGGCAGGTCTGTGGGTGCAGGAGCGCTCGGCGTGGATTCGCCAGGGATCGTAGGCCCGTTGGTACCCTCGGAGGGCCCCGGGGAGCGGTCCAGCCACTTCCCGAGGGGCCCCAGGCGCCCACACTCACCAACTTCTCTACCCCGCAGGAGCACTTCTTGCCACTGCTCCCAGCCCTAGCCTCGGAGGATGCGGCTCCTCGGGAAACCGCGCGCCTCCGCTCCGGAGCCCGCTTTCTCCAACGTGCTCACCCCGGCCCGCATCCCCGAGTTCTGCATCCCGCCGCGGCTGCCCGCGCCCTGCGTACCCGAATCTCCGCCTCCGGCCGCGGCTCTGCCCCGGCGCTGCGCCGCCGAGCCGGACCTGTGGCCCCGAGGAGCCGACGATACCGCGGGGCACACGGACTGGGACCCGCGCTCGCAGGCCGCGCTCTCGCTGCCGCACCTGCCGCGCGCGCGCACCGCCTACGGCTTCTGCGCGCTGCTCGAGAGCCCGCACACTCGCCGCAAGGAGTCGCTCTTCCTCGGGGGCCCCGGGGCCGCCCCGCTCCTGCCCCCGGGCGCAG